TATATATATATATATATATATATTTGTATGTATATATATACTATATTATTACAATATAACGATACACAATTTCGAAGATACAAAATTTACACTTGCCTTTAGTCGCGTGTCTCTCGTGTTTCTTCCACTGACTGTCGCTGTCCGATGTGTGTATGTGTGTGTGTGTATGTGAATGTGTATGTGTAAGTGTGAATTTTTCGTGTCCGCCGTGACTAAATTATGAAGCTAACGCTCGCCGTGCGATCCGGCGATCGCATCGACGCGCCGGGTCGGGCCGATCGATCGCGATCGTCGGAGGCTTCCTTTATAATTTACGAATTTATTCTCTATGCGCTTTTATTACACTTATGTGAACTATCACTAACCGGTACGACACACAGAACGGTGCTGGATCAATGGACGCCGACAGTGGGCAGATAGAGGCGAAGTACAAGTCGAAGGTTTAAAAAGAAAAAAATAGGGAAAGCTCTATTTCGGTGACTATTTCGGTGTCGATCTGCGATCGAGGTTCAAACCTCAATCCCATAGGCTTCACCACGACGTGTATTGTAAAAAGGCGTTTCTCAATTCCTGGGAAATAAATCATGTTTCTCGTGACCGATCGTGAGGCTCAATCGACTCTCTTGTTTGAAAAGAGAGTTTCAATTCCGCGCCACGATTTGTGGCTGCACCGTAAAATGTTTTCCCTAAAAAAAACGGACACCGCGATCGAAGTGTCTCTCCGATTGTTGCCGTTCGCGTCTACTTGAATAAAAACAAGACGAAAGAGAAAACCGTGTTAAGCCGCCGGAAGGAGAAACATCGATTTTTTTTTTTTTTTAACAATCTAGATTGCTACGTAGCGAAAAGTAGTCGCTCTTTGAAAAGAGAGAATCGTTTGGACGTTCTCTCTTTCGAAAGAGTCGGTGGTGAGAATACAGCGAGCTTCGTAAATAACCGTTTGCGAGACTGTTAATTGCCGTTTCGTTTGATTTCGCGGCCGAACGAGACGCGGAGCTTCGACGAGTCACGGTAAACTCGCGCGAAGCGACGCGCGAAGCTTATCGGCGATCGACCGACTCCGGCGAGGATCTTCCTGAGGAACGTCCAAACGATCCCGCACCGAGTTAATAAACATTTCTCTTGAAATTGCACGATACCGCGTCGACTTCCGTGCGTGTGCACGCGTTCCGGAACCCCGAGCATTTGCAGCACACCGCGACTCTTCGCACTCGGAATCGATTTTGGCAGCGCGAAGCGTTGGATCCGGTAAATTATTCGCGCCGTCGCGCGGGAGGACAGTAAAGGCCACGCAAGGTGGTGCGCGCAAAGAAACTGAAGTAACAAGATGTAAGCGGTAAAGAAATTGGCCAATCGTACAGTGGGGGGGACCGTAAGGCCCATAACTTGAACAATAGCGAATCCAACATGACGATTTCCTTACTGCTTATGTCTTACCGCTTAAGATTTTCTGTGTACTACGGTCCTGAAGCAGTGTGTACGATAGAGTAGTGAGCCTTTAAGAAATTCATCGTTCGATCGTTCTCCTCGCATTCGACACTGTGACTGATCAATTTCTTAAGGGTTACTATTCTAAAAAAATATAGATGTAGATTTAACACACGCACGCACGCGCACACACGCACCAGTAGTACGGTGTGTCTATATAATTCTAACCGTATTGCTGTTGATATTAACAAGAACACAGAGTAGATTTTACAACCCTTGGCGATCGTATCAACAACAATGCGACGTGGGTCTAAAACCTCATGACGTTAAATTCGCATCACGTTGGTGTAATAGTAACATTGACACAGTGTGGATTGTATAAGAATGCCTTCCAACGAGCGACTCCGTACGACACAGTGATCATCTCATCCTTGTTTAACATTGGCGAACAACAAGGACGTAATGACGCATCCGTGTCGCTCGTGTCTCTTATTGGAAGGCCCCCCCCCCCCCATAGACGCACACGCGTAGTTTTAAATCCACCGATATTTTTTTAGAGTGTACAACTACATAGACCCGCGCGACGGTTCGGTATTCGATCGTCCACCCAGAATCCTCCGAGGAGTCGCCTAAAAACAAGTCATCACACGCACATGCACTCCCTCTCACACACACACACACACACACGCTCGTACGCGCGCACATATAATATAAATTCTTGTATCTATATATTTATTTACATGCTATATATCATATATAAGACTCAATACAGTAGCTGATTTTTCCTTTGTACTTGGGGCCGGGGCTCGATGGCCCTACATGAAACTTTACATATTTACATGAGCTTTCACTTGAGAGAGATCCGGACAGGCGCTCTCACGGCCATGCACAAGGACGTGAATCCCGGGATCCCGCGTGTCGGGATTTTCGTGTCGTCAGTGATCGATCGTGGCCCCCCCCCCCCCCCCCGTTCGACTCGAGGAGGCCCCGCGTGCGAGAAAGAGAAGAGGAGCGGTTTTTGTGTGTTTAGTTTATCTTTTTTTTTTTTTTCAATTTTTTTGTTTTTCCTTTCTTTTTACATTACAACGAGACAGTGGTGGGCTGCGTCCTGAGCTGCTAGTCGCTCGCGATTCATGTGTACTCCGATCGCCAGCCGGTCTGAAACCAGACAAAGATTACCACACTCTTGAGATGCTCTACTTGCCGGCCGCCGCTCCGGCGAGCTCTGAAGGCTCTTCTCTCGCGACGCGATTAATATCACCGCTTGGAAACGGAGGAAACGGGAAGCTGCGCTGGCAGTGACCATCGAAATGTTTGGAACAACGAGAAAATAATGTTTAGACTTTGTATATTCAATTGTTTTAAAGGACTCCGTTAATTGCAGGGAAAATTGGGTCTCTGTGAAATGAGTTAATTTTTATATACAATATACAGCTTATAATATAATAAATAAAAGGCAACTGCAAGGCTCAGTAACGGATACTACCGGAGTGTACCAAAGGTGTGAAAATTGTGCTCTGTGAGCACTTTCGATACAACACAAGTAAAAAATTACGCATTGTTAAATCTCGTGTTTATGACAACTTTTATTCATCACACATTATTACAAGTTACA